TGCAAACACCCATGTCCCTGGAGGACGGCTCAAGCTGCCTGGTCTTTGCGGGGCCCTTTGACTTGAGGAGGTGCTGGCCCGGCGCTGGCAGTGCGGCTTCCCAGCTTCGAGCCAGGAGCTCAGTAGGTTCTGGAGGGATGCAGAGGAAGGCTGAAATGAAAATATCCTTGGCCCAAACTCCGCCCAGGCCCCACCGCTTTCCTGGGGACACCAGCTGAATTCCAGGGTCTCCCTTTTCTTGTCTTCGGCTCTGTGTTTTCCAGTGTCGCTGGGATGGGACACAGCCGGGACCCCGCCCAGAGCGGAGACGCTCCCCATTGTTCTGCCAGGGAGCCCGTTCTCAGGAAATTGCCCCGTGGAAGAGATTAGGAGACCCGCTGCAGGTGTGGATGGAGCCTTCCCTTCCTCTGGCGCCTCTGTGCCGGGGCTGGGTCAATCCATGGCTTGGCAGTGCACAAGGCCAGTGAGTCCAGTGCCTTGCCACAGAGCAGCCCAGCTGCCCCTGCACACGCTGTGCCCACCGGGGGCCCCCAGCAGTGTGCCTGGCAGAGGTGCTTTCTACCCCATCCCTACTGCGAGCACCAAGAGCCCTGAACTTTGCATGCTTAGCTGGCACGCTGGCCCTTTGAGGTTCTCATATAGCAGAGAGGGACATTGGCTTCCCCTAGGTTAAAGAGACCCAGCTCCTTCCTGGTTGCATTGTGAAATGCATTCTGCTCCCACTCTGATGCAGGAATGTAATTAACAAAGCAGGGGGAGACTCGCCTTCTCATTTGTAACCCTGAACTAACTAGCAAAGCACCAGAGATGAACCCGTTAAAAGATGCTAACAGCCAGGTCCGCAGCCCATCCATCCATCCACGGAGCTGCACCTTTAGGGTGGGTGGAGCTGAAGTGTTGGCCTGGGAAGGAGGAGGTTACGCCGTGCCAGCCTAATCTAACCTCCCCAAGCCTGGGCTGGATTCCCCACATTGCTGAACGAATTACAGGCCTCTGGGATATTCAGAGTCTAACTGTTCCTTGTCAATTGTCTTCATGGCACCGATGTAATGATGGCGCAGGGTTTGAACTCCGTCCCTTCAGCACCACCCTCTCCTGCTTGAGCTGAAGGAGTAATTCTGTTAGCAGCTAGCAGTAGTAGGGTGTTATCCTCTAGTGGATAATGGTGTGTGACACATGCACATGCTGATTCAGTGCATTACGCTAAATTTGACTTATCCTGCCACTGCCAATTTGTTGTTGGTAGCAGGGAAAACAAGCCTTTCCCTTGGAAATACCTGTCAGTGGGAGCAAGCCGCCCTCCTCCTCCCACCAGTCAGCAAGTGGATTGTTATTAAGTGTTCTTTGCTTCCTGCCTTAAACTTACTGCATGCCGGTGCTATGCGCTGCTAAAAAGCTGCAGCATTCCAGCCCAGAGAAGGCTGCTTTTCAGTGGGAGCTGAAGTGGTCACCATCTATAGCTGTGTATCAACATCCGTAAAACTCTTGGGAGTGGCAGGTTCCGCAGAAGCTGCGATGATGAACATTGTTCACTCACCTTTACAGCTGCGGAAAAACGATCAGAGATGCTCTTCCCCCAGCCCAAGGGCTGAGGGCATTGCTGCCACGCCCCGGTGTGTCTCTGGGATGAAAGGACTAATCTGCGCCCCCAGGTTCGCTCGGCGCACTGCGCTCCCACTCGTGTGCCATGCGGGCCCATTCATCACGTTCTCGGACGTTCCACAGCTTCCCCACAGCCAGATCGTTCCCCTGGGGGGGACGGGGACCACTCGGAGCTGGGCCACGGGTGCAGCACACTCGCCCTGTGTAC